GAAAAAAAGTGGCGGCCATGTTTATTTAAATCCCGTGGGGGATATTTAAATCCCCCGTGGATTTCCCTATTCCAAAGTTGTAAATTAGCATGCCTCTTCCAGAGAAGGGGCCAGTGTAGACGTAGCCTTTGTCTAATTGGAATACTGGCATACATACAGTTAAGCATGGGTGTGAGTTTTGTAGGTATGGCTATCCTTGAATATTCTTAAACATATGGCCAAATTCACTGAAGCCATTGGGAGTTCACTGGTACATCAGAGTGCATCTTAGTCCATAGTCAAAAATATAGGAGAAAAGTAATAAAGGACATGCACCATAATTGGTGTTAAAGTATTAATGGAATTGGTTGCATTATTGGTTGTGAATTATTTATCTGACAATTTTTGCAATTTTATTCTAATAATTATTTGGCTTGTTCTATAGCTAATCAAACAATAAATAACAAGAAATAATTGTTGGATTTTTTTCCCATCCCACTAAAAGCTGGGTAAGTTATTCACAAATAATTATTGTCCTTATCTGATCATCTCATTGAAGGTACGAACAGCTCTTTGTGTAGACTCTTACGTCAGGAAGGATACTATCTATTGACTTTGATTTTTATCTGCTTAGTTTTAACTACCCAATCTTCAGATACTTACTGATTCCCTCTAGCTCCCTGTCTCCCACTCCCCTTCTTCCTCCCACCTCCCCCTTCTCCTCTCCTATTTATTTTGGGTGTGAACATCCTAAACTCATAACTCCGGTCATCTGAAGAAGTGGGCTGTGCCCACAAAAGCTCATGATACCATCTATATGTTTTGTTAGTCTATAAAGTGCTACTAGACCATTTGTTTTTCTATGATTAGGCTGTTTGTTTTAACCTAAACATGTATTCACATTTGAAAAAGTCTGAGTTTATTTTTTTTCACGATATCACCACTAAGAGCCTTATACTGCACTCATATGCATGCTTAAATTTTACCCATATGAGCTATCTTCTTGTGATGAACAGATGGGAGTAGGTACCTGATGAGAATAAGTCATAGCAAGATTAGAGTCAGAAATTGGCATGAGATTATAATAAATCTTCTAATGATGCTTTATTATCTCAATAAATGAATGACAAACCAATATCTAAACAAATTTTTCTTCATTTTCGCAAATAAAACTGCTGAATAACACTTCTTATGCAAGTGGGAAATGTATAGTATTGACTAGATCCAAATAGCTCTGCCAAAAATACACCTGACCTGCAGAATCCCTGTTCAAGCTCTAGGTTCCCTCTGTTATAGCTTCCCCATTGCACTCTATAGCCAAATTCCGCCACAACAGTGGTTTTGTGATATGGACAAATTAAAGAACTAATCTGACCAGTGAACTAATGTTGCTTGTGACCTGAGCCAGATTTAAACCCAAACCTCTGAAAGGTGAAAGGCAAATATATTAACTCAAGTTATTATGAAGCTTGCTCCAGGGCAGGAAGATTTCAATAACATTTGGAAAAAAAACCCTTAAAATTGAAATATGAATAATTTACACAATAAGAAACCTCCACTAATAGTCTTATGTTCAAATTCAATCCCTTCATGACCTGTAGGTGAGGTTACTGTAATGTGCTTTATTTGAAGTTACTCTTGCAACACCTTGTACAGTAGATTGCAGCTATTAAAGGAAGCAGCAGATTTGCACAAGATAGTCAGCAAAGCCCATGTGCTTCAAAATGCAGTGGCTGCTTATTATTAATCAAGGCCCTGATCCTGCAAAGAGCTCATGTGCTTAACTTTAAGCAGGTAAATATGCCCACTGAAATCAGTGACAATAATTGTGCTTAAGGGCAAGTTTGTATCAAAACGGTATTGTTAGCTTTTAAAGCTGAAAACACTATAGCATGTTGCATGTATTTACAGATATAAGGAATTTAGCCACCTCTGTATGCATGGGCAAATGGAAAATCAAAGTCTTGATTATCCATTGGCTTGAACTTGGCACAGCATGTATTCCTGTGGCAAGCACTTTATATTCAGTAACAATTTTTTTACACACTTTGCAGAGCTATACATAATGTCAGGTTAAGTGGAGGGTTTTATTGAAATGATTCATTTTCATTTCTATATTTTAAATATAAAATTAGCTTTTGAAATGAAAATTCAACATTCTGTTCTGCAAATTGCACAACAGAACATTAGGCCATTAAACACTTTACTCTTTGTTGGTGTTACTCTTCATGTGGGAATTTATGATGTTGCAGAAATGGCATTTTCCAATAAAAAAAATTTTCACCAGAAAAACCTTTGATCGTCTCTACAATATTAATGTTTTGTAGTTAACCATAAGGAAATTTGGACTTTCTGCAGTTGCTAAAGGCTTCCTATGTAGCCTTGGACAGGCCTTCTCTGGGATTGGTTCTCCATTATTTTGCCCTAATCGATTTGGCTGTGTCTACACTGGGCCACTTATTCCGGAAAAGCAGCTGCTTTTCCGGAATAAGTGGCCCAGTGTAGACACAGCCAAATCGATTAGGGCAAAATAATGGAGAACCAATCCCAGAGAAGGCCTGTCCAAGGCTACATAGGAAGCCTTTAGCAACTGCAGAAAGTCCAAATTTCCTTATGGTTAACTACAAAACATTAATATTGTAGAGACGATCAAAGGTTTTTCTGGTGAAAATTTTTTTTATTGGAAAATGCCATTTCTGCAACATCATAAATTCCCACATGAAGAGTAACACCAACAAAGAGTAAAGTGTTTAATGGCCTAATGTTCTGTTGTGCAATTTGCAGAACAGAATGTTGAATTTTCATTTCAAAAGCTAATTTTATATTTAAAATATAGAAATGAAAATGAATCATTTCAATAAAACCCTCCACTTAACCTGACAGTTTTTGTTAATTTGATTTGTTTTTCAAATTTGGAATGAAAACAAATTTCAAAATTATGGATTTTCCTATGAAATGGAAGTTCTGTGTCTCACATTGCTGTAACATCCTTCCCTCTCCAGAAAAATACAGGGCTATCTAAGCCCCGCCTACCATCCTGTCAGTAACTAAGGGCTGGTAGGGCTGTGTAATATATAGATCTTTATTAGTGTCCCCTTGTAGCAGGACAGGTAACTACACCAACCTGGCTCCTTCCTATACATCTGATGCTGCATTTGTCCAGTCCTTTTTATGACCTAATTCCTCCTGGCCAGGTCCTTAATAGTCTCTGACCCTTTGAGTTCTATATCTTTATTAGTGGTTAATCATCCCTAGTTCTCTTGGTTTTAGGAGCTTCTTCTTTAAAAGTCCCTGGCTGGGGGAGGTAGGACTTTCCCCAGCTTTTAGCTCAGGACCCATGTTTGGAACAGCTAGAACTTGATGTTCCCAGAGCTATTTCCTACCTCTTAGCTTCACCCACTTTGGAGTATTGGCTTGTCTGACAGCTTCTCACCAGTTTGCTGGAGCCTTCCTCTTTTGCTATTCCCCTCCCTCTCTAGCAACTACCACATCCACCTGCCTTGCAGCCATTTCCTTTTCATAGAAGCTTTGGTACTGCCCATCAACTATGTCTGAGGAGACAGGCAAATGCTTCTTTAACTTTCGCTGTTGAACTAGCATGGGGTATATAGACTTTAGAGGGGATAGGATAAGGAACCCAGCACTTGGGAATGCTCTCTTTGTTGACATATCAGAGCACATTGGTGGCATGCTAGGGTGCAAAGGATTAACTTTGTTTCTTTTCTGCTGTGTTTCATGTTGTTTTTAGAACTGAATCTGAGCGATAAAACTGACATCTTGATCTGCTTTTGAATTTGTAAGTTCTGTGTATGTGTGGAACTTGGGCTCCAGTTAAATCTATAATAGAGGTAGGTAAAACACTAGCTATAAGATGAGTTGTAGATCGAGGTTGAACTTCTGAATTGCGTGCTGAGTGCTGGGGTATTTCAATACAGAGAATGAGCCTAAATCTCTATTCTGAATAAGATCTGATACTGTGCTTATCACATTGACAATATGTGAGTGCCTTCCAGTAGTGCATTAAGCCACTTGACTTACAACTTTCATGGGGCAGGAGCATAATCAGTGGTGTGTCTTGTTTTGGTAGGTTTTATATTTATACTTGTCCCATTGCATTCATGATAGAGAAGGAAAGATCAAAGAAACACATCTGGAACTTAGAGTGGTTCTTAATTCCTGGGAAGGGGTCATCCTACAGTCTCAGACTGGTTTTTCAACAAATTGTGTCATTAAGCATGCCATTGTGCCAAGTGAGCAAATTTGCTAACTATGGCCTTTGTATCATAGCTTTGAATGATCTTTAAAATATTCTGGTCTCAGGCCCTTGAAAGTAAGGACTGAGTCCTTGAACTTGATTCAAAATTCTATTGGAAGTTACTGTAAAGAACAAAGGACAAGTAATTTGTGTTGTGGAGAAGAATGGTATTCTATATCATTCCCTAGCTGGGCTGTTTACAGATGTGTGGGATATTGGATTTTTAACTTTTCACAGTTTTATTGGGGGCCTGTTGCCCTTTTTATCTAGTCATTTTTGATGCCCTGAGACCTTTGGGCATAGACTTTACTATCATAGAAAATGAGGGTTGGAAAACACTGAGTAGGTCATTCAGTCTAACCCCTTGCTAAAAGCAGGACAAAACCCAAATAAATCATCCTAGTCAAGACTTTGTCAAGAAAGAAATTAAAAACCTGTCAGGATGAAGAGCCCACCCATATAGAGAGTCCACCCACTCCATGGATGGAGATTCCACATGCTAGGCTACATCTAGACTGAAAGCCTCTTTTGAAAAAGAGTGTCTAGACTGCAACCAGTACTTTCGAAAAAGCAAGCCGCTTTTTCGAAAGAGAGCACCCACGCAGTCTGGATGCTCTCTTTCGAAAAAGCACAGTTTGCATTACATAGTGCCTTTTTTCGAAAGAACACTTTCGAAAAAAGGCGTTATTCCTCGTGAAATGAGGAGTACCGCTGTCGAAAGAAAAGCCATGTTCTTTCGATTTAATTTTGAAAGAACGTGGCTGTAGTCTAGATGCAGGTGAAGTTTTTTCGAAAAAAGGCTACTTTTTTTGAAAAAACCCTGCAGTCTAGACACAGCCCTAGTGAAATAGTTTTTTCCTAATATCTAACCTATACCTCCATATAATGTGGGGCAGTTGCCCCACACTCGAATGGGAAATATTAAAACAGCCCTAGGAGAGGACTGAGGGTGGGAACCAACTGGGAGAGGGTCTATGGAAATCAAAGCCCATCAGCTGTATATAAATAGATGTTCAGCAAGGAGGGTTCCCTCTCCCTTCAGCTTAAGGATGAGGGATCTTGCTGTCTACTAGCCAAGGGTACCTCAGACAGAGCAGTGCTGGGGAAAGGTAGGGTGAGCCAGAGGACCTGGGGCCTGAATAAACCTCAGTCTGAAGCCCAGTGACAGGGGCCCAGGGAGGTATTAGATCTGCAGAGGAGAAGCCAGGGAAGGAATACACAACAGGTCCACCCACCCCCTCCCCATTCCTCACCCCCATCCCTAAACAGGGCAGATAGCTGGCCTGACCAACAGTCAAAATACTCCTTACAACAATAAAAACACCTAAAACCAGGTGGAATGTTTCATTTGGGTTCTGAAGAACCTGCAAAATGCTTTCCAAGGCAAGTGAGATGCATATTTCTAGCCTTCTTTTCTTTAGATTCTGACTTCAGGATCTGGACATATAGACAAATAAAGATGAATCGTCAAAGAACAGTAGAGGGATGTGCACTTAACACAATGGGCAGTAGAAGAAAAGTGATAAAATGCGATGACATTAGTTGAAAAGCTTTCTGGTAAGATTGGATTCTACACCAGCTCCTCTTTCTTGCCTCTTACCTAAGTGAAGGAAGATTTGGGCCTTGGGATTTTTCCACCTCATTTGTGAAAAATCCTTTACAATAATTTGAGTAATCTCAGAAGTTTTGATAAACTACTAGGTTTAATTAAGGACCAGTATTTATCCATAAAACCTTGTGTAAGATATATTCTAACAGGTATTTTATCACGGTGCATAGCAGTTTTCCTTCTATGCATTTATTATATGTCGAAATCTGTATACAGATCAACTTCTGTTTCATAATCTCCAGATTATGCTTAATTTCCTTCTTTAATGTTAGAACTCAAAGCAAACTTGACAGTTCAATTTTCTCTCTCCCTATGTCTATGACTTATAATTAAAAGAACAGTGAATTGAAAAACAAGGAATGAGCTTACCATGACTACCTACACTCTGTAAATGGTTTTATAGCAAAAGAGTGGAATCTGTGTGACAACTTTTAGCCCTGAGCCATTTATACAAACAAGCCAAGGTTTATTTTGGAAGTAACATAAATGATTTTTCCTCAACATGTAAATCACCAAATTCCACAGTTATATTTGGGATGCTGAGGTTCACAGGAGCCAGCAGTGACAGCCAACGTGAGTTTTTCAGGCCAAATGCAGCTATGGGAATGCTAAAATATGGTCACAAGTAGATTCCATTGAAGTTGATGGCAATGATGGTTATCCAGCGAAAAACCAGGCCACAGGAACATACATGTGAGTTCCTCAAACCATATTTGTCAGCTGTCCAATGGGCCTCAGCATTTTTGAAAAACATTGCTTCTAAAACATGGATTTGGGCTCCTTTTTTTGAAGTTTTATTTTATGAATAAGTACATATGATATTTATAAATTTTATATAGTATAGTTTATAATAAATTATAGTTCCAGCCCATCATATTTTATGTTAATGTGAATGAAAATGTTTGGGTGTTTACTTCAGCAGTGATTAATGTGGCGCTGCATTGATATTCAATTTTCTCATGTAGTAATGCTGGAGAAGCACAGGCACTGTGATCAAATAAAAGAGAATTTAAATTGGCAATGTAATTGTAAATTGAAATTCAAATGCAACCCCAATAATGTTCTTTGCTTGCTTTCTCTCTTTGTAAAATGGCAACTCTAGGTTGGAGATTCCTGCTACCTTTTCATTCAATAAGACCAACTCACCATCTCCAACTTGTAAGAATGAAGAGTAAGAAAGGAAATTGAAGTTGTCATCCTAAACACCATGTCAGTATTTCAATTAACTCAGAAGAACTGAGGGTCAGGTTGAATCTGTCTGTAATTGTTAGTGCATTTAGAATATTTCAGAATCTAATTTTTTCGAAGTAGCTTTCTGTTACTTTATCCCACATTGTCCCTTTATTGCAGCTTTTTGACTACCTAAAATAATGGGATTTCTTTTCTTTAGACTTGCAACATCTGAAAATAAATGGCAAGCATTTTAATGTTTAGGACATTGTGTTTTAAAATATATTTGTAACCATTGGGTAAAAAAAGAAATTCAGTTACTGTTGATTTTTCTAACATCATGATTTTCTAATAAAGATTTTCTTCCAAACAAAGGTATGTTAATCATGCCACATAACATAACAATTTTGTATTAAAATGTACATGGAAATGAGAACACAGGTGTGGATAAAATGAAAGTCATTAAGAAAAGTTATACAATACCTTCTGAAGAGTGTTTTTTATACCATATATTAAACTACATTTCTGTTCATGTTCAGCTGTTAAATTTACAATTTACTGTACAAACATCAGGTGTCACTGAATAAGTTCCTCACAATAAAATATCATCCATTCAATCGAATGACTGATTGCATCATAATTTGATCATAATGGCAGATGACATGCATCTTAGATTACCTCTGGTCTAAAAAGACATCCCAGCTCTTACAGTTTCTCTTTATTCAATAAAAAATTGTGTTGTTCCTCTTTTTTAAATAAAGTAGTCTGCTTATGTTTTTGATCCAGGCTTGTTGAATTCAGATTACACCTGAAAGTGCATAGAATTACATTTGCCTAGAAATAAATCAAGTCAAAGGGTCTTTGAAGTCTTTCCTTACAGTGATTACCTGCTTCAGCATTGGCAGTCAGCAACACATCATTTACCAAAGGGCAGACTGGTTTATTTGAGGGGGACTTAGCTTGGTTCTGGAAGTTTAGTGATTTATGCTTTGCATAGTTACCTAACTGAGTCTCTTCGGATAGCAGTTCTACTAGAATCTGAAGGTACAGCTGGCACAAAGAGAATCCAGCTATTATGAGAAGCTGACACAGTAGTTGACATTTGATACAGTTTCTGTGTTAGAACTTGATAATAATGTATGTTCAGAAACAACAATCCTGTGTTTCTTTTAAATAAAGCATGCTGGGTAGATGATCACTGCAGGACATTTCCATGCCTCTAAAAAGGGAATCTCTTTTATTTATCAAGGAAAATAGCAGTAGCTTCTCTTTATCACTGGAATTCCATTATTCACCCTTTCATTGTTTCTATTTCTTTGTTTCTTTACCCTGGGCTGTAAATACTAAAAGCTTGTGTCTCCCAAACCCATGACAATTCCTAAACTAGCACCCAAGATGCTAAGTAGACTTAGTGTTCTTTTGTTGGAATGGTGGATAGATGATGATTCCAGGAGTGCTTATGACAAAAGCTTGGTCACAATGAGAGGACAGTGAGACTGCTGGGATGTGTAAAAATTAATAGGGGTCTGGGATGACTATGCATCAGGGGTCTAGCCAAAATAGTCATTGCCCTTTAAATATGTTTTTCCCCTTTGTTTTTGCAGTCTGGAAAGATAGATTAAGAGTTCGGTCAAAATAGGTGGTATCCTTTCTAATTTATAAATATGCCCCTTTGTTCTTGCAGCCTAGAAAGATTGATAAGCATGCAACTGCTCTCCTTTGTTGTGTCTTTTACTTGCCCTCACTGGTTCCGTGTAAAATATTTTCAGGGTTATTTTCTTTGTAATCTCTGTAACCCGGTGATTTGGAAAGTTTGTAGTGTAGAAAAGTGTTGATTTAATTAGAAATTTTGTAAATAGTAATTAGGAGCAGGTATAATAATATTCATCACCTGCCTGTTAATATTCATTGCATGTGAGTTAACATCCTAAATAAGATTTTAGGGAAAGTAGTGATAGACGTGTGAATTAATATACTGAAATAGATAAAAGGGTGTACAGTAATTGGTGCCAAATTGTTGTCACTCGGAACGATGTATTAGGGGTCCGAGGCTAACATGCGTGGGCAATAAAGCAGTTTCTTTTACCTCATCCACTCCTGGGTTGCCTGTTTCTTTTCTAACAGAGACCCTCCACTTTTAGCTGAAAATTGATGTATTTTAGGGTCCTCTGTATTTTGAACTTCTGTGGCTGTGGGGTGTATTTTGGAATTTATCCCCTGTGCACAGGTATGCTCCAGAAGTTAGCACATATAGATGTACAGACACCTTTGAAAACATAAGCTGAACATAAACTGATCTATGGTGTGTTTCCAAGTCTGCAGATGGTTTGGATAATTTTAAAACCAAAAGACAAACTTGCAATTGAACAGTTAATGTTCAGACTTCTTATATTAGTAGAAATATACATAGATTTCAAACTAGTTTTCAAAGACAAGTAAGCATCATTCAACTTTATTTTACAGAAAAGAAAACAGAGTGAAGAGTTATGTTACGTGCCCAAATTCCCATACTGAGTCAGTGATAGAGACAGGAATATATTCCACAATTGATGACTTCCAGGGTCATGCACTTTCCACTGGTCACTGGGAAATGACTGTCTAGGAAGGAGTACTACAGAAAGGGATATAAGGGTCATAGTGGACCCAAGCTAAATATGGGCCAACATTGTGACTGCTGCAAAAAAAAGCAAACATGATTCTAGGATGCATTAATAGAAGTGTTGTGAGCAAGACACAAGACGTCATTCTTCCACTCAACTCTGTGCTGATTAGGCCTCAGTTGGAGTATTGTGTTCAATTCTGAGCACCACATTCCAAAAAAGATGGAGACATTTGAGAAGGTCCAGGGAAGAGCAACAAAAATGACTAAAAGTCTAGGAAAGATGACTTATGAGGAAAGACTGAAAGAACTGGGCTTGTTTAGATTCGAAAAGAGAATACTGAGAGGGCATATGATAGCAGTTTTCAAGTATCTAAAAGGGTATCACAGAAAGGAAGAGGGAAAATTGTACTCCTTGGCCTCTGAAGATAGAACAAGAAGCAACAGGCGTAAACTGCAGCAAGGGAGGTTTAGGATGGACATTAGGAAATAACTTCCTAACTGTCCAGGGTGATTAAACACTGGAATAAATTGCCTAGGGATGTTGTGGAATCTCCATCCCAGGAGATATTTAAAAGCAGGTTGGATAGACATTTATCAGGGATGATCTAGATGGTGCTTGATCCTGCTGTGAGGTCAGGGGACGGGACTTGGTGATCTCTTGAGGCTGCTTCTAGTTCTACTATAGTAGGATTCTATGAAATTCCTAGGATTAACTCTGAGAATGGATTCTTTGGACTTGCGTAGACTTCATCTGCATGTTTTGTCAGTCTATAAAGTGCTACCAAACTATTTGTTGTTTTTTCAGTTTACCTGTACAGACTAACTTGGCTAAGCCCTGAAGCTACATGAATCAGCCACTTTTAAACCCCTAGAAAGACAATCACATTGAAGAGAAATACACATCCATAAAGTCAGAAAGTCAAGAACTTACTAATAAGATTGAATGTTGCAGGAACCCAAAATGGTCTCAATTTGAAGTAACTCTTGAGCTGTAGAAGTATTTTGCAATCACTTGTGCACAAAACTTCTACTGAAATCAATGGAGCTGCCTGCACCTACAAAGCCACATTTATTACTTGATCCAGTTTGCATGTACCAGTGATGGACAACCGAAGCTAGTGTGTTGGCTGCGCAAGCGACCCTATATTTCAGTGGACTGCAAAATTGTCATATACAGGACAGCCTCCCGGGATACAGTAGTTTTGCTAACTGCACTTGTATAACTGGAATTTCTAGGATGTACTGACTGAACTGTAGCAATGATTGGTTGGATGCAGGGGGAGCACATGGCTCTCATAGTCAATGTTGTGTGCAATCAGCACGCACCTCACTTCAAATGCCTTTGCTCTACATATATATAATTTAAATAATAATGGTAGGAAAAACCCCTGTATGGACAGAAACCAGTGTAATCAAGCAGTCCTGTACGTGGGCAATGGTAAACAAAATGTCTCATAGGCCACAAATAGACCCCTGATAGGCTGCATGTGGCCCACAGGCTGCAGGTTGCTCAACACTGGCATATACACTCCCGCGGGGATGCAGAATACCCCGACACATAGCAAAAAGTAATTAGATACACTGTAGATCTAATACCAGAATATCTTATGGGAACTGGATAAGAATAATCAAAAGTCAATCAATTTTTCAAACCTGTCTAGAATGAAATTACTTCTTGCTTTATTCAGTACAGCAGAATTAAAGAAACGCTGCACACTTACTTCCAAAACTGCCTATTAAAACGTTTTGCAAACAAATCTGTCACCCTCATTTTTCTTCCAGTCCTATTAATAATCACAACTGTCTTTAACAAATCTGTAATATCCTGAAATACAAGAACATTTACCATTTACAAGTTTTTCACTTTTTCCATGGTTTACGAAGGCTCACATATAGAGAAGCTAAAAGTTCATTAGCAAACTATTTCTTTCATTAGTAAAGTATTTTGTGTGCATACACCCTCCCCTCCCCCTGGAAAAAAAAGCCAGCACAAGTTCTTTCCCCCACAAAACCCCAGATAAACAGCTCTCTTTCAACAGAAGCAAGCAGATAGCATTATTCAAGTCCTAAATCAGGGTCATCCATACTTCACCTAGCTCAGGGGCATCCATAATTCACCTAGCTGAAGGCTGCTGCACTGGCAATTTGTCTGGTGCTTGAAGTCTGCATGATGTGTTTTTGTTCTGGAGGTTTATTCAAGAATTTAATTAAAAACTTTTTTCCTTTAAGGGACAAGAAGGTTTGTGGGAGTTTTGAGAGGCTGAAGTCTGAGAAAGTGTGGCGAATACAGGTCTTAATATGCAATGCCTCATCTGGTCTAAGCATTCTTTTACTCAGATAAACACTAGTACCCACTTATCTTTATTAGATGCACTTCTGTATTCAAGCTGAAGTTCCACTCTGGCCCTTATTCTGACTGTTGCTACATCGGTGGAACAAAATCTGGTTCTTTTAGGCTGCAAATTGACCAAAAAAAGTATGTCCTTCAACAGAATGAAAATCTTGCATTCAAAAATTATTGCTTCTGCAAATTTTCATTATCTTTAAAAATTGTGTTTCTCGAAGGCAAATACTATCTAAGAAAAACATAATTACTGACATGTTCATTTGAATCCACTGCTACTCATCTCTAGAACCTGGGTCATAACTACTTCCTTCTCACAGGAATGTTACTCATCTAATTGCCTATTAGTTTCTGGTTTCTTTTGGTCCCATGAAAAATAAATACAGAGAAGCAGAAAGTGTTTCACATTCATTTTGCAGTTTTGTCAGACTGTTAATTGCTGCTGCCATCATCTATTTTTCCCCATAAATATAGGTTAGACGAGAGTCTCCAAAAAAGATTTAATAAATCTCTCTTCATCCTGAATGACATCTTTAGGAAAGCTAGGGGCTTGGGAATGTGCTCAGGTGCTAAGTGGTCTAACATTGCTAACTGATTTTTTTGTCATATTAATGAGTTTCTCTCTGGTAACACTGAATGAAAAAA